AAAAAAAAAAACAGCCACTAATCAGGCAGGGCAGCCAGAAAGACTCTGCCTGTGATACCTTCAACACAGTAACAGTTCATGGTAACTACGCAGCTTAGAGCATCTAAATCAGAGTCAAATCAGACTACCATATTTGCCGGCGTACAAAGAGTGGAAGGCTCTGCTGTGGCGCCAGCGCCGGCTGCCTGGGGCTCTGCCTGGGCCCACCCTGGAAGTTCATGGCCAGTGGGGAGGAGAGCGAGGAAGAGGGGAAGAGGCTGTGTGGGCGGTGGCAGGAGGAGGAGGAGGAGGAAGAGGGGAAGTGGGCAGGTGGCAGGCGAGCGAGCACACAACTGGCTCAGCGGCATGGGGCTGTCCGGCGGTGGACTCTGGCCGCTCAGGCATGGCCGTCTCTGCTTCCCTCTCTCCATCCGGACTGCCTGCCTGCCTGCCTTCCTCCCTGGCCAGTGCGGCCCCGCGTCACTCACTCAACGGCGGCGGCGGCTCCTTCCTGGCCAAATGAAGTGCACCCAGTGTACAAGATGACCCCCCCCCCACATGGAGGCATGTTCTTTGGGCCAAAAAAGTCATCTTGTACACCAGCAAATACGGTATTTAGAACATATGGGCAGAATGTGGAAGTGGTTCAATACTATTAACTAGTTGTAATTAATTCATTTTCCAACATCAAAGGAATAATAAGTTATATAATAATCATAATGCATTACTCCTGCAGCATAACTGTTTTGATTGCATTTGATTTTTACCAAGCGTATATGACTTTAGACATGTTTTCATGATAAGGCAGTGAGTTGGAGCATTCCGATTTATTTTAAAAAAAACAACCCTAAGAAGTAACTATTTTACTTATGTTCAAGTAACAAGAAAATAGAACATGTTTTTATGGAGGGAGCAGTATGATGATAGTAGTAACAGTTTCTTTGGGATCCCTGGCACTGTAAGGACAACTAATTACTTTCTAGAAGTCATTTTTTTCAGCTTCACTTATTCAAGTATTTTTCTTTGGCTAAAACAGCGAACACTATCCTCTGAGAGGGGACTTATAAATATTCTATATTTTATTCATTTTTCTATTTATTTCAAGCTGCAACTACACCAGCAAGTTGAATTTGGCTTTACTGTGGCTTGAGCTGCAGCTTATTTTACAGATCAGATCAGGTGATGATGATGAGATGACAGATTGTTTTGGTGCCAGTGTCCACACGCCCCGCCCCCACCCCCAGTCCTATATGGTTTCATCTGTGCCACCTTCCTTTGATCCCAGCCTCTTCTTCTATGGTTCATTGTAAAGCCAGTGGGCTGTTTAAAGTATTGCTCGGCACTATGGAAAATGGACAGTTTCCACAAATTCTCTACTTTACTTTCTATCATCTCTAAATCTCCTCGGAGATCAGAAGAGTATTATGTAGAGTTGCTAATCTCTGACAATACTCATTATATTACATGACAAGGGGTCAAATTCTGCACTAAAGTGATAGTTATTTGCAACCAGACATTCGGGTTGCAATCTAAGATGGACAATACAGTGGTGCCTCGCTTAACAATTGCCCCTCATTACGGCGAATCCGCTTTACGACGATCACAATTTTGATCACAAAACAATGGTCTAAATGGGGGAATTTCGCTTTGCGATGATTGGTTCCCTGCTTTGGGAACTGATTCTTTGCAAACCAATGTTTTTTTAAACAGCTAATCGGCGGCTTTCAAAATGGCCCCCCGCTGTTTTCTAAGGATGGATTCCTCGCTATACAGGCAGCGAAAATGGCCGCCATATGGAGGATATTCGCTGGACGGTGAGTTTTTCCACACTTGCCATTGCCCTTTACCTTCTGTATCCCTTACCCCACCCTTAATAGTTTTGAAAATAAATAAAAAATACATTTAAAAAAGCTGAGAGGCAGGGACCTGCACAGAGGCTACCCAACCGGCTGACAGGCCAGTTGCTAAATAAATAAATAAATAAATAAATAAATAAATAAATAAATAAATAAATAAATAAATAAATAAATAAATAAATAAGGCAGCCTGTCAAACGATAAATATTTTAGCCCCTACAGCCTGGATTTCTTCCAAATTAGGAAAAACATTCTCTTTCAAGATAATCCTGATTGGTCTTTTCAGTTTATTTCATCTATTTCAAATCTGGTAATGTTTAAGGTCTGTTTCTTCAGAGGGGTACAAAACAATCATAACTTGGAAATCCATTTCCAAAACTTCCCCAAATTTGACACAGAGCAAGAGCAGACTGTCTTTTACATCTGCACCAAATGTGGTGCTAATCCAAAGGCGAGTTTAAAAGTTATAAATTTTTGTTTGAGCTGCCTGCAATTTTAGAATTGCTTTGTAGAATGTTTTATTTGCTCTGCTGCACAGTATCATTACCACACTCTCCTGCACTGATAATAAAGTACCAGCATGGGAACAGATAAGACATCAAAACTTTTCCCCAGCAGCAATATTTATATCTGCAGCTAAAAAAAAACCTGTCACAAGAGTTGAGCCCTCAAAATTCTGACCGGTCATACTGTTAGGAGAAATCTGGCCCAGCCATCTAGGTACCCAGTGTGGTGTAGTAGTGGATAGAGTGATGGCTAGAACCCAAGGGGGCTGGGTTCAAATCCTACTCAACCATGGAAGCTCACTGGGGTGAGGAACTGGTAAAACCACGCCTTAAATATTTCACTTATCTTCAAAAACCCTGTTAGGGTCGCTATAAGTCGGTTCCGTCGTGACGGCACAGAACAACGATATAGACGTCAGGGGTGACGGCAAGCTCCCCCGCCTTACGCCGGAGATAAGAGCGCGGGGGAGATGATGCGCAGCCTGAGCCCCAGGTGATGATGCTCTTCGTAGTTTGCGGACAGTCCTTCCTTCCCCGGGGATTCGGGAGAGCGGGGAGAGTTCGGCGGCGCGAATTGGCTGCGGCCGTGTTAAGGGAGGGAAAGGGAGGGGAGGGGAGGGGCGGAGAGGACGGTCCCCGGGCTGCCACTCTCCGGGTGCTCCTCCTCCTCCTCCTCCTGGGAAACTCTCCCTCTTTGCCCCGCAGCGGCGGGGGCGGAGAAGAGCCTTCGGCGGACCCGCATCTCCCAGCAGGTTGCGCCGGCGGGCTCCTGGCCCTCAGAGCGAACCAGGCAGCCGGGGCTGGGCGGGGCAAAAAGACGGGCCGCTCTAAGTCGATTGCCAAAGGGAGGGAGGCGCTGCGCTTTCGGTAATTTGCAGACGGTCCCTCGCCTTGCCTTCCGAGGTGGGTTTGTTATGGTCTCGCTGTCTGGTTTTCCACAGCGAGGCGGACCAGGCGGCTCTTCGGACGATCCCCCGCGGAAGCTGATCGGGAGAGAGAGAGAGAGACGCCGGCGCGAAGCTTTCTGAGCGCGAAAGCAGCGGTTTGGAGCCGGCCTCTTTTGAAGGTGGGGCATCTGGATGGCCGGTCGATGAAGCGGAGAGGCAACACCTTCGCTGCCCTCGGCCAGGTAGGCAAAGCCTTCCCAGTTGGTCCCCTTAACTGCCGTGGATGGTAAGGCGGAGATTGGCAGCCTCTCCACGCACGTGAAGATGGAGAGCACCCTCGGGCGATGGAGAGGGCCGGGGCCGGGGTGAGCGTGGGGATGCCTTTCCAGATCAAGGGGTGTCTAAAAGGGCCGGCCCTGGCAGGATCCTGACCCCTTCCAGGCAAAGCCGCGAAGGGAGGCGTGTTTCTGTGGCCGCCTGTCTCTCCTAAAGGTGTGTTTTGCGTCCAAGAGGCAGTGGGGGAAGCGGGGATGATTTGGAAGCCCCTGCACTCGGCGTGTCGGTCGCTCTGGCGTATTAGATGACACGAGGAGCAGCCGGCTGGAAGAGCTGGGCCGGCGCGGCCTTTATTTAGGCTAAGGAGGAGAAAAGGAGAGGCGGTGGGACTTTCTAGAACAGCAAAGGTGAAAAGATGGAATAAAACTAAAGAAGTTGAGGGGGGAATGGCTGACCCACCCAGCCCTGAATGCGAGCTTAATCGAAGAATCTGGCTGGCTAGGAATGGAAACAGGCTGCTGGGCGGTGGATATTTGAGCAAAGCAAGGTGGTTGTCACGACATTGACAAGCAAATGGAGAAAGGGAAGTGGGGAAGATACACCCCAGAACTTTTAAAAGAGGATGGGTGCAGAGTCTGGGTCCATTTGCTAAGTTATTGGAACTGTGAAGGCTGGTGGAAGGGCTGCACACGTAGCCTGATGTAGCGAAAACTACATCTTGACAGCTAGTAAATGTTTTACAGCAAAGGTTTATATGGACTGCAGTATACATTCTTGGAACTTAGGTTGTAATAAATATTTTACTCTGCATAGTTCCCGCTTATGAAAGATGGAAAACCTTGTTTAAATTCCTGATCTCAGAAATAATACATTGTCTCAGCTCTCCAAGCCACTGAGGCCATGGTGGCAGGCAAATACTTGGAATTGTGCAACCTTTTCCAACGCAGAAGGGTCTCTAAGATCACACTTCGTAAACCAACAGATTTCACGCCAGCTGTTTGTTTTTATTTTTTGTGCACAGTTTGCTATGGTGTATTAAATAATACAACTTTAAGTTGCATTCCTTGTTTTGAAAGCCTTGATTCAGCCCTAGAAGATGTTACCAATGGTTTAAGGCATCCCACAAACCAGTACTGAATAGATGACTATAATAGTGAGCTTTGGAACTAGATTGGACGCATCTTGAAACAGCCTGTGCTTTACAAACAGGTTTGGTCTTCAGTACCTATTTTAAAAAAATGTTTAAAAGGGATTCCAAGAAAAAGAAGATAGGGAAAATGACACTTGGGGGCTCACCCCAAGGAGCATTCTTCCATAAATGTGCAAAATCCCTTCATATTGAAAACTAGCATGCCAGGAGAGGGAAGATTCAGTAGAAACCTTCCCTTGATACCTAGTAGTGGTTTGTATGAAGCAATTCTTATTAGTGGTTGTGAGGATAGTATGAAAGAACATTATATATTATGAAGTAAGTCCCCATCTAACTGTCTGAAGTGGTACAACTGACACACATGTTCACCACCTCAAGTAAGATTGAGATATAAATCTAGAACTTGAAGCAGAACTGTTTCATGGCTATGATGCAATCTATATATTGAATCTAGTTACTTTTCTATCCAGATATAAATCTAGAACTTGAAGCAGAACTTTTCATGGCTATGATGCAATCTGTATATTGAATCTAGTTACTGTACTTTTCTATCTGTTGATTCCAGATGGTGAACTGCAATTGTCTAGTCTGTCATAGATACCTTTTGTTATAATAATACTGAGAGACATATCCTAGCATAAAAGGAACTAGGGCTGTAGTTCTCAGCCTGGGGTACATGTACTGCAGCGGTATGAACCAGGACATTTAGAGGTACATGAAAAAAAATGCATAATGATGGAACAAGGCCTAGGGAAGCAGAATGGAGATATACGTTATGGACTGGCATTCAAACAAAATGTGTGAGTTTCTTGACAAGCATCCACAATCCTTCACAGTCCTCAATGGGTGGATCCGTTCCATCTCCTCTAAACTTTATTTTCATTGATTGGCTCCTATTTGATGGATGAGAGATGGGTTCGGTCAATGCTGTGGGATGGGATTAGCTGCGCTACCTTTCCATTTTGTGGTTGTGTGTCAGAACTGCATCTGCCCTGTGGTTGTGTGTCAGAACTGCATCTGCCCTTAGGGCAGTGATTCCCAAACTTGGGTAATCCAGGTGTTCTTGGACTGCAATTCCCAGAAGCCTTCACCACCAGAACACCTGGGTCACCCAAGGTTGGAAAGTACTGGCTTAGGGTGAGACTAGTGAGTCTTATGTTGGAATTCTTGAAGGGGCTGCAGAAAGCAGAGCACAATGTCAATTTGGAGGTGCTTCATGATCAGGGATGGGGAACATGGTGCTAGTACCCCTCCTTATTCTCTGCAGTGTCAAGGCCTGGGAGGGAAGTAGGCCGTACCACATAATCCATCCCCGCCTTTGGGTTCCGCAGTCTAAATGAGAGGACGGGGTCAAGACCTCACCAAGGAGGTAGCAGCCACTTAGTGACACATTTTGGGTCTTCTGATTGCTGAGACTGAGGCTTCCCTCATGGAACGGGGTGAGGTTGGCATGGAAAAGAAGCAGGACTGGTGGGGCAAGATTGTGGCCTCTGTAGGTTTTGCTTAAAAGTATAAATTACTAAACTGAAGGCTATCATACTTAGAGTACATAGTGAGAAGAGAAGATTAATTGGAAAAGACAATAATGCTGGGAAAAGTTGGAGGTAAGAGGAGAAGACCACATGAGAGATGGAGAAGAAGCCACAGCCTTGCATTTGCAAGAGCTGAGCAGATCTGTTGATAGGAGTTTTTTCAAGGTCACTAACTTGTAGGTTCCAAATGGAGGACCCATAAAAACAATAAAATATTATGATGACTCCCTGCACTTCAAACTTTACTACTGCACCATTAATTATGAATATATATCTTAAACCTCCAGCATTGATTAGGGCTAAGTAGCAAGGGAAGCTTGGGCTTTATCACAGAGTCATACTCCTTCCTGCACTTTATAAAGCTACCATAATTCATTACATTAACAAGAGTCTTACTCATCCTATATACTTTTCGCGTTATATGTCAAAATGCATGGTTGGTAAGAGGTTGAATCCTAGACTGAAGTTGCAAATCACACATAGTACTGTAGTTCCAAGTGAGAGCAGGGAAGAATAAACAGCTGTCTTACTTGGGATTTAGTGCCTTGCTTCCTCATGTCATTTGGTGATCTGTTGTCCATTCCTGTGTTTTTTCTGCTGCCTGATCTTTTCACACATCCTCTTGGAACTCTCTCTGCTTATATTACGATAGTTTCATGGTAGTTATTGTGACATTTTCTGGGTCCAGCGGGTTCCCTCTCTAGCTATGTAGCCACACTATCCCACTTATCCTGGGGTGCGTGAACTCAGGGGGGAGTCAGTTGCGTTGAAGACTATGGAACCAACCTAGCTCCGGATCCTCCCAACACTTCAGTCTACCCAGATCTGGCAGTGCTTCCGGGGAGCCCACCAAATCCCCGAGATAAGGTACTCAGGACCAGTGTACCCAACTTGCAAAGCAGAGTTGTCACCATACAGTACTTACACAAGTACTACAATTCCTCGTTGCTGGTCAAGGCAGGACCTGGTTTTAGTAGCACAAAACCTCTGAGCTAAAAACCCAGACAGTTGGTTGATGAGGTTTGTTTAATTTATTAAAAGAAGCAGAAGGTGGTGGTGGGGTGTTGAGATAAAAGGCAAAAGGTTCCAAAAAGTTTCAAAGAATCCACCGAAGCAACATGCAGGTTGAAAACATACTAAGGCAATTCAAGAGTACCCACTAGAAAATAACAAAGCTAAACTAATCTACCTAATATTTCATATATTAGCGAGTCAGTATAATTCCGAGCCATACACAAAGTGCATTGTTTTCAGGCATGGCAGGACAGCAGCTGAGCAAAGCCTCCCTCTTTAAGCCAGGCTGAGCCATCTAACCAGATTTCTGACCCCTTCAGATAACCTATTCCAGACTTTCTAATCAACATTCAAATGCCTCAATTGTTCAGGAAGAAGAGCACTTTCTGCTCCCCTTTCACACAGCTGTAATCTTCCCTCAATTTGTATGCCTCCAGGGAGGAAGCAAACTGGCTTTGATGTCCTCTCTGACAAGAGATAAGTTGTAGGTGTTATTTTCCCCTTGGTACTTAGCAGACACTGACCCCCCAACTTCTCTGCCAGCTTCTCAAGAAGAATCTCAACTTTTCTAGATGGATTCCATGTTCCCCTAGTTTCTCAGTTATTAAAATAAAGACCAGCCCCTCTCTCATGTCAAACCCTGAGCTATGATACGCTGTAGAAGCTGGCTGAAAGCAGTTCCAGCCTTATAGCATCTGCTGTTTTACTCCGAGGTTCAAAAGGACTTATTTATCCTTCTGCCAACTAGCTAAGTGTTGTTTTTTCATATTGAGGATTCCTGACTTAATACACATGGAGTACTTTCAGAACTTGGGGGAAATGCATATAAATTTGCAATAAAGAGAACCATACAAGAAACAGTACTAACTGAACCTTGTGAAAGTTTTTTAAACCATAATTTGGAGAATTTTCTAGTCAACATGGGCAGAACAGACAAGATGGACGATATTAAGAGGTGATAAAAAAATTATCCCCGCAGAGATGCATTCTTCAAAGCTTCTGTATTCAGGCTGCAAGCAGGAGCCAGTTGTTTTTTTCCAGTGACTAACTGCCTACCAAAAGAAAACTAAAGACAACATGGGGGATAATCATACTTCTTTTACTGCTTATGGCAGCTCTGCTTCTAACTGTGAAGCTATCCATCTCCACTGTTCCTGCCCCAAGAGGCTACTTGCATAGCTTCCACATTTCTCTGTACAGCGTCCAGTACTAGAAACAGACAGTAAATCCAAACTCCTGTTTGTTTGTTACATTTATATCCCAGATGCCT